CAGTTTTTCGGCCCACGCTCTCGGACTGGTAGGACGGAGCTAGGCCAGTGGCCTCCCGTTATTATTCCCCGATTGGGAAGAGTCTCCGGGAACTCTGCCGGCTTCCCTGGACGCTCACTGCCTATAGTGGGCGTCTGCAGGTCCTGCTACCCCTTGGCCTGGATCTTTTCAGTGGGAACTCCGGGACCTGGCAAGTGCTGGGGCACCTGGGGACACCTGGGACAGGGAGGGATACGGGCCCCAGAGGCCCCTCACCCCTGAGACAAGTGGGGCGCTGGATGCTGGTGCTGCTGCCTCAGTTTACTTGACCTGGGCTTTTCATTACGCACAAATCTCAATTACAGGACGTTTGTATAATTTGCAAAGTGATTTTATTACCAGTCATCTTCTTTCTGCCTTTTTATTTTCTAGAAGGCAAATTAGATCCCTTCATGATTCCGTGTTTCCTGCCCCCCACCCCCAAACTTCTAAAATGCAAAATCTCTGTTCCACCTCTCTTCAAAAAGCATAGACTCTAGACTCCAGGAGAGATGTCTTGTTTTCTTCCGGGTGGTTAAGAACATGAACCTTGGTGTTGGACACACCTGGCCCGCCTGTGCTAGCTGTGTGTGGCTTTGAGCAGACTATTTAATCTCTTTCAGCTAGTTTCCTTATCTATGTCATGGGTGTGATAAGATGTAATTCATAGGGCTATTGAGTGAATCATGTGAGCTGATTGTGCAATGCCTTTGGCCTTGGTCACTGAAAAAAAGTTTATGTGTTGGCATGCTCCTCCGCCTGATTTCCCTAGGCCTTCCCTGATTTTTTCTTTTTCATGGGCATCTTTGACTTGGAGAATATTTCAGAACCTTCACTCCCACCTCCCACTGGTTTCGTGGTCAAGTTAAACTCTCCTGTTCCCTTTCCCTGCTATAGAGAACTACCCCTGCCGTGTGCCACATCTTTTACATTTTATTTAATACTAGTAACATTCCTAGGAGGTTGGTATCTTTGGCATAAAAAGGTTAGGTGACCTTCTCAAATCATACAGGAAGAGGCAGAGATGGGAACAGAGGGCTGATTCCCAGCCCTGGAAGGCTCTTCTGCCCTAGTGTCTAGTAGGGTGCAGTCCAGATAGGGTTGCCCTCCTCCCTCTGGCCATGATCTGTCACCTATGGCTCCCAGACTTCCTGGGTCATTGGACTCTCATTGGAGCATTTATTCCTTGCTCTCTTTCAGCACCTATGCTTGGGACCAAATATTACCACCATCACCTGCATACGAATTGGAGCAACCCAGGTCCCAGTCACGACTGCAGCATCCATTAGTAAATGGAGCATCCACTGTAAAGTGGAGATGATAATAATTATCCTGAGGGGATGTTCTGAGGACAAAAAGTCATGATGTCTTAACCGTGGACCAGAGTGGGGAGCTCAGTCCCAGTGGTTGTTATCATTAACATCCTCCTCATTCCATTATTACCTTGCATTTAGACTTTATCATAATAGCCAGTATACACTGAGCGCTTCACTCATATTTACTCCTTTTGTTCTTTCCCTGTCCCTACAGTGTAGGTGCAGTGTAGTGTTTAATAGAGTGGACTCTGGGGGAAAAGTGTTTGATTCAAATTTGGCTGTGCTACTTGCTAGCTGCATGACCTTGGGCAGTACTTCATCTCTCTGTGCCTCAGTTCCTTAATCTCTGAGGATAGATTGTACTTCCCTGACACTAAGTTAGAAGTTCTTACAGTGATTTTTTTTTTCCTTTGAAGGTGCCAAGAGAGGGATGTTACTATACTCCCCATGTTGGTTCAGATCCTTGGAGAAGCAGAGACCACAATGGGACTAGACTTGCAAGAGATTTACTGGGGAAGGGCACAAAGGGGAAGTAGCTAGAGAAGGCAGGGAGAGCTGTCAGGCCGCTGCCTGTGAAGAAGCACCGAAAGGGGGGCAGGGAGGGAGGGACGGAGGAAGGAAGGATAAAAAGAAGGAAAGATGGAGGAATAGAGGGAGGGGAGGGGTTGGAAGGATCTCTGACTGCCTTGCAGTTCTGAAATGGTGTCTGTTGGATTGATGGGGACTCTAGGAAGTAGGGTTACCTGTCAGAGGATCCTCATCTTGCAGGAATGAGTCTGTGTCATGTCCTTGCTGTGCGAAGTCACTGGTTGGGAGCAATTGGTGGGAAGTGTGGCCTCCATGTGAACAAGCTGGGGGGCATTTGTCAGTTCCACTCTCTGCTGCAGGAGGCTTGCGAGGATTCGGAGTGACGGAGATCACACAGCGCATTTGCCAAGCTGGGATCCCTTGAGGCCCCTTTATTGGAAAGGCCAGATGGACATCCTGGGGAATGCCTTTTTCCTCAGGTGGCTGGCCAAGATCTCTAGCTCAAATTTCCCCTCTGGATTTCCCTCCCAGGTTTAGCAGAGAACAGAACAATTTCTGTTAGTGGTGGAGGCTTTCACTGAAAGCTGGTGGGAATGTGGGTATGGCTAAGTGGTGGTGTCTGTCAGCCCTGACCATAGGCTTGATGGCAGCAGGGTCTGGCTTATGTAAGAGGGCACTGTTGCTGTTGGCTCTTAGTTGGTGCATGGGCTGACTACTGGACACACACTCTGGGCAGCCCATCATCCCTCCCATTTGGAGGTTGGAGGGGAGAGGAGGGGATGGGCTGCTTTGTGGGACAGCAGCTGGATCCTTATCAGAGGTAGATGCCAAGGCACCTTTGAGCACTTGTCTACAGATCATCTTGGGGGCTCTGAAGTCAGATTGATTTCCCAACTGGTAGGAGAGGAATTTTGAGGGGGATAGTGGAGGTTGAAGCCATAGCTTTTGGCCCACCTTCCCCTCACTTGCTCAGGGTGCCCTAGAGGAAGATGGCTGACAGGTAGGTTGTAGCCCCTTTCTGGCTTGGAGCTTCTGGCAGGGGAGCTTCTTTTTTTTTTTTTTTTTTTTTTTTTTTTTTTTTTTTTTTTTTTTTTTTTTTTTTTTTTTTTTTTTTTTTTGATTTTTTTTTTAATGTTTTATTTATTTCTAGGAGAGAGAGAGACAGCGTGAGCAGGGGAGGGTCAGAGAGAGAGGGAGTCACAGACTGAAACAGGCTCCAGGCTCTGAGCTGGCAGTCAGCACAGAGCCCGACGCGGGGCTCGAACCCACGAACCGCGAGATCATGACCTAAGTGAAAGTCAGACGCTTAACCGACTAAGCCACCCAGTTGCCGCTGGCAGGGGAGCTTCTTGAGGTCCTTCTAGTGGATACTGTAGGCACCCTGCCCTATCCCCTTGAACAGGCTGGTGCACTCCTCCCACAGCTGCCCTCTTCTCCAGGGATTTGCCATTAGCTTCAGGAGCCTGGGAGGTTAGAACCTCCCTCCCTCTCCTCCTCCTAGCTCACAGCCAGTAATTGAATGATGAGGGGCAGCTCTTTGCTTTAAGGTGAGACCCACTGTCAATCCCACCTTGCTCCCCCCAACTTCCTCTCCTGAGGAAATCACATGCATCCAGATTGACCCAGCAATCCCATACCTGGGTGTACATTGGCAGAGGCGAGGTCTACTGTTCACCCTAAACCTGCATACACGTGTTTTTTGCTTTTTGTTTTTTTGTTTTTTTTTTGAGAGAGAGCACGAATGGGAGAGGGGCTCTGAAGTGGGCTCTGCACTGTCAACAATGAGCCCAGTGTGGGGCTCAAACTCACAAAACTGTGAGATCATGACCTGAGCCGAAGTCAGACGCTCAATCGACTGAGCCACCCAGGTCCGCCTGCATACAAATGTTTATAGCAGCCCTGTTCATGATTCCCCAAAGCTGCAGGTAGCCCAAATGTCCTTGGATGGATGGATGGATGGATGGATGGATGGATGGATGGATGGATGGAGAAACAGACCATGGAGGTCAATTCATGCAATAGACTATTGCTTGGCAAATAAAGAGAAAGAAGTAGTGATATGCCCAGTCAACCTAGATGAATCGTAAAGGCATTATGTTAAGTTGAAAGAAGCCAATCTCAAAATACTGCATCCCAGCCATGGAGCTGTGGAGAACAGAGTGTGGTTGTCAGGGGTGAGGGATGGAGGAGGGTGTGACGAAAGGGAGAATGTGCAGGAGTTTTTTTTGGGTGTGGAAAGTGGTGATGACTAAAAGAATCTATACATGTGTTAAAATTCACAGAACTACGTGGGTGCCTGGGTAGCTCAGTCGGTTGAGCATCTGACTTAGGCTCAGTTCATGATCTCATGATTCATGAGTTTGAGCCCCGTGTCGGGCTCCGTGCTGACTGCTCAGATCCTGGAGCCTGCTTCGGATTCTGTGTCTCCCTCTCTCTCTCTCTGCCCCTCCCCTGCTCTTTCTCTCTCTCTAAAATGAATAAACATTAAAATTTTTAAAAAAATTTCACAGAATTATCAATTTTATGGTAAGATAAATTTTTTTTAATGTTTATTTTTGAGAGATTGACAGAGCAGGAGTGAGGGAGGGGCAGAGAGAAAGGGAGACACAGAATCTGAAGCAGGCTCCAGACCCTGAGCTGTCAGCCCAGAGCCCGATGTGGGGCTTGAACTCACAAATCGTGAGATCATGACCTGAGCCTAAGTCAGACACTTAACCAACTGAGCCACCCAGGCGCCCCAAGATAAATTTTTTAAGAAGTTCACACACACTTGTATCTCTGCCACAGGGAGCCGCCTCAACTTTGGCCAGAATGGTGCAACCGAAGGGTGTTGATTGGACGGTCATCATCCTGACATGCCAGTACAAGGATAATGTCCAGGTCTTCCAGAGAGGTAGGGGACACCTCCTTCCCACTTTGCCCCAGTTGTAGAACCCCTACCATACCCCCACAGCCCCAGGAGCTAGGAAGACCCAGTTTCAGGCCCAGATTCTGCTGCTTTCTAGCCATGTGACCTCAAGACACATCATATCATTTCACTAAGACTGAAGTGTTTTCATGTGTCGAATGGGACTGGTTGTACTTAACGTCATAGAGCTGGGCGAAGATCTAAGGAGCTACTCCATAAAAAGCTCCTAAGTATTCATTTTGGCAGCACAGGTACTCAAATTAGAACCACACAGGGAAGGTTAGCATGGCCTCTATTGAAGGATCACATGCAAATTCGGGAAGCCTTCCATATTTTTTACAAATACCAAATCATTATGTTGCATGGCTGAAACAATGTAATGTTATACATCAATTATAAATCAATTAAAGAGAAGCTCCTAGGTCAAAGAAGATAAAATAACGGCTATTGGTAGATTTGCTCTAGGTGCTCTGGACCAGGGCACGGAGACGGGGCACTGGTCACAGCTTGTGTTCTAACCACAGAGCTGGAGGTGCGGCAGAAGCGGGAGCAGATCCCGGCCAGGACACTGTTACTGGCTGTGGAGGACCCTGAGATGCGCGTGGGCAGCGGAGGAGCCACCCTCAATGCCCTGCTGGTGGCTGCGGAACACCTGAGTGCCCGGGCAGGCTTCACTGTGAGTGCTCATGTCCCAGTCAGAATGGGGGTGGGGGCTTCACACAGATTATTCCCTAGGTCACCAGCTCTTGGGGCCCCATTACCTGGTCAGTTCAGCGTTTGGTATTAGTTTCTGTGCAGGTAGATTGGGGAGGTTCACCAGGAGGGGGCAGAAGCAGGGCCAGCCTTTCTAGTTATTTTAGAACATCAGAGCCAGTATCTGAGAATCCAGCATCTTTTGAAAACTTCCTGCCTCTCCTTCCCACATGGCAACTATTTGCTGGCACTGGGATGTGGCTGTCCCCTTTGTGCAGGGCCCAGGGGTCAGTGTTCCCACCAGGCCCACCTCCCTCCCATATACAGCCACTTCACTCAGTCACCTGGGCCTCATGGCACCCTGACAATAGGGAGTGAGGGTGGTCATAGGAAGGGACATGCTGTTATGATGGAGGTGGCCCCAGCAGGGGAGGCTACCACTGTGTGGTTGCCATGGAGTTTGACTTACTGTGAGTCACCTGGCCAGCCCCACATCCTTGCTTGTGGCTTTCTCCAAAAACGGGGACAGAGAAGCTTCTTTATCCAGGAGGAGCCAGAACTGCCCCTTGCCTGCCTATGGCCATTGGTCTTGACCTTGTCTTTTCTTCCTTTGGTACCTGAGTGGATTTGTGTTGGGGTCTCTCTCTGGACAAGAGGACAACATCCTTGGTGCCATCTGCCCAGGCTTCTGTCAACGGGGCTCTTCCACTTCTGACAGGTGGTGACATCGGATGTCCTGCACTCAGCCCGGATCCTTATCCTGCACATGGTTAGTAGAGGACCATGTAGCTCTTCAGGGGCCATGGAGAAGGCTGGAACCATCAATCCTTGGGGGTAGATACATGTTCTACCTTTGTGTGTGTTCAAGGTGTTCATTGTGCAATTCCAGAAGAATCAGAATCAGAATTGATCCAGATGTCTAGAAATAGGGAACTGGCTGAATATAAGCAGCATATCCTTCTGGTAGAATGTTAGACAGTGATCTAAAAGTCCCACTGGGGCACCTGAGTGGCTCAGTGGGTTAAGCGTGTGACTCATGCTTTTTGCTCAGGTCATGATCTTGAGGTTTATGGAACTGAGCCCTGTATTGGCTCTGCACTGACAGCACAGAGCCTGCTTGGGGTTCTCTCTTTCCCTCTCTCTCTGCCCCTCCCCCACTTGTGTGTACATGCGCATGCATGCTCTCTCTCTCAAAATAAATAAATAAACTTAAAAAAAAAGTGCAGCTAACTCTGCACATTGACACCTGGAAAGAGACCAGCTCTGTGACTTTGGACAAGTCACTTGACCCTTTCTTCCTAGGCCTTAGCTTCCTCATCTATAAAATGAGGATGGCAACAGTTTCTACTTCGTGTGGATATGCTGAGATGATCCATGTAAATGCTAAAATGGGGCCTGGTCTGGCTCAATTTGATCATTCAGTGGATGTGTTTTCATTGTTTAAGGGAATAAGCCAGCCACACACATTTATATAGAATGATCTCAATTTTTTTTAATTTGGAATTTTGTGTGTTTATTTTAAACTTTCTTTAGCCATTCTTTTCCTTTTTTTTTTTTTTAAGATTTTTTTAAAGTACCAGAGAGACTGGAAGTTTTATTTATTTATTTTTAAAAGTCTACTTATTTATTTTGAGAGAGAGAAAGAGAGAGAATAAGTTGGGGAGGGACAGAGACAGAGGGAGAGAGACAGTCCTAAGCAGGCTCCATGCTGTCAGCACAGAGCCTGATTCAGGGCTTGAATTCACAAACCATGAGGTCATAACCTGAACCCAAACCAAGAATCAGATGCTTAACTGACTGAGCCATCCAAGGGTCCCAAGATATTTTTAAATAATCTCTACACCTAGTGTGAGGCTCTAATGTACAGTCCTGAGATCAAGAGTTGTATACTCTGCCGACTGAACCAGCCAGGGGTCCTTTTCATCAGAATTTTGATGAAGATGAATGTCAATCCACATGCAAGAAATAATACAGAAAGAGAAGCCTTTGTAAACTTTGCCCAGATTCCTCCGATGGTAATATTTTCAGCAACTATAGTGTAACCACAGCCAGGTATTGACATTGATACAATTCCCAAACTTTTCTCTTAGTTTTACTTGTAGTTGTGTGTGTGTCTTTGTGTGTATTAGTTTCTGTTGTTTCTCCACCTTCTCATGATCTCATTTAAAATTCTTTTTTTTTTTTTTTTTTTTTTTTATTT